AAAACTCACTCTGTTGCCATGTTTCCCAAAATAGCTGTGAAGACGAAGAATATATGGGCTCCAGAGCCACAGTTTACACAATGAATACAGTACATAATTAGCAACAATACACACAGAAACATACACATACCTCATTGTCTGTTGTAATACTTTTCACTGTTTCCAAATTATGAAAAAACGTCATTTCGTTCTCTCCACTGTTATAATATTGCGTATTCATGTTGTGTAGCTGGTTAAATTGAGAGAACTCTGAATGGTATTCAATTATATGTTTATTCATTGTAGTTTCACAAATCAGTGTAGAAATATCTCCCACAATTTCTCTTGTTTATTGTCTGTAAAAAGGAAAACAAATAGACGTAGGAAATTTTGAACATTTTCCCCAACCTTCAGAAAAACAGCTGCTACCTGATGATCCAGGGTACAAAATGGGGCACCTACTACCTATATAATACACCTCCATTGAATCAGTAGGGCTATCTACCAATTACCTAACAAGCCAAGTTCAGAGTTTTACTTATGAAATATACAGTAAGGTCCTAAACAATCTTGGGATTATAGTATCTGACATATCAATCTTTACAATAGTGGGTGATTACAGAAATCATTGGGAGAGTTGTTCAATGGACCCACAGAATACTCTCCCCAGTGAAATTTGTTACTGTCACATCTTTTAGATATTTGTTGAAAATCCTTCTCTTCATAAAAGCCTGAATGTGTTCTGTTTCTGGTTTTATTCTCTTCTCTTTTTAAAAAAACTGTGCATGGTTTCTATATTGTTTTGAATGTATTGTTTTGATTGCACAATTTATATTTTGCAAATTGGTTCAAGAGGCTGGAAGCATCCTAAAAATAAACAATGATGCTTTTATTTACCTTCTCTTATTCCCTCCATTCCTTTCTCCTTAACCCCTGTTAGATTAGGTAGTGTGGTTATCGAATGTTTTCATAACTGCTAAATCCTTGAAATTATCCCATCTTTCTCAAGTTAATGTGCCATGAGGAACATTCAGAAATATTTAGAAATATTCATATTCATATGAGCTGGCAGATTATTATTATTATTATTATTTATTACATTTGTATCCCGCCCTTCTCCTTGCGGACTCAGGGCGGCTAACAATCAGATAAAATACGAAAATACAATACACGTTTAAAATTAATTAAAAAGAAATATTTGAATCTGTTCCAATTAAAAGTAATTAAAACCCCTTTAAAATCCCTTAGGCCAGTCCCGCAAGCTGGAACAACCATGTCTTGAGGGCGCGGCGGAAGGAAGGGAGATCAGGGATCACCCTGATCTCTGGGGGCAGTTCGTTCCAGAGGGTGGGATAACAGTAAAGAAGGCAAAGTGAAGAAAAAATAAAATTGGCCAAGGTCCTCTAAGATGGATCCATAGCTAAATATGGAAGAGAACCAAAATATCTGGAATATTTTGGATTGTTTGTGGAATAGACAAGAAACATGGATTTTGAAAGACTGCATGTTGAACTCCAACTATTTTAATAATAAATAACTGCCTAGATTTGCTGGGAGCTGGGAGTCAGGCAATATATCTAATAAATTTTATAGTTGGTTGCACAATCACCAAGAAACTTAGAATGGAATTGCCATTTTTATCCACTTATCAAGCACTTATCAAGGACCTGGGATAGGCAGATGTTGTTCTTTCTTGGTGGTAAAGATATCCATGCAGGATGTAAGCTGTTCCAAATAAAGCTGCTCTTTGCAATTGACTGAGGGTGATTTTGTCAGTGTCAATGGTGTTTGAGTGGTGCTCCAGATGTTTTGGGATTGCATCCAAGAAGCCTATTACTATCGGTACTAACTTTGCTTTTTTTGCCACAGCTTTGCATAGCTTTGTATTTTGTGTTTTTCCCCCAGTTTTTCTCTTGTGTTCTGCTTTCCAATTACTGCCATGTCCACTATCCAGACTTTTTCATATCGACAGTGTTTAAGTCTGAGGTATTATGAGGCAGGTGCTTGTTTGTTTGAATCCTAAAGTCCCTGAGCACTTTAGTTTCTTCATCTTCTATAGTTTCTTCATCTTCTATTTTGTATTATCATGGTTCATCACATGGATAACCATATTATCTAAAAGTGCTGGGTCCAAGGACAGCCTCAGGAGAAGCTGCACTATTTCCATCTTCCAGGCAAGAGTTATCACCCCTTCCTCAAAGAGGGTGTCACCACAGGATGGACCCAGTCACAGATTACCACTCTGACTGCTTTCATAATCCAGGATGAGGCTGGGTCTAATAAATAGATGGCTAAACCAACAGCACAGCTAACCCTGTCAACTGGCATTAAAGTCTCCATAGATTTCTATACCAGCCTCCTAATCACCACACTACAATGGGTATCAGCTCTTTACTTTAGAGAGGAACCAGAAGAAGAATCTATCTGCAACATCTATTTAGGCAAAGCTATTATTTCTTCACTGCTCCAATGAAGCACTTTTCACGGCATTTATCAACTGATTGGTAGACACTATATATGGTTAAGAAAGAATATCTGGTTACTAATATGATACATGAATACATTTAACTTGTTCATATAAATTATGAAATTTATATATAAATTATTATTTATCTCTAATTTCGTTAAAAAAATTAGGAATTAAACAATTAGGACTGTTGGATGGACAGATGACCAGGTCCAGGAGTCGTGTGCAAAACCAGCCAGTATTATAAAAAGGGACTTCCATTGACCTACTCTTAGGCTCTGATGATGTCGGTAGTGCTGACCGACGAAAGCTCAGCATTTTATTAAACATTTTTTAGTTTAATTTTATCCTGGTGTTCGTGTTTCTTTGATTTTACTAAATTATTATTTATATGTAAATTATGATTTATATTCCATAACTTTTATTCTTTATAAAACACAAATAAAATGCAGTAATATCTTCAAGCCTTTGACAACCCAAAGGATGGTTTCTAAAAGCAGTAATGGATATGTCCTTGTCTACTCTTCTGGAGTCTCTTAATCAAGTCCTACCCTCTAGAACAGGGGTGTCAAACTCGCAACGTCACATGACGTGTCGGGACGTATCGCAACTTTTTTGCCATTGCCGGCAACGGGGTGGGCGCAGTTTCGCTATGATGCATCTGGGCCCCAGGCTGGCAGTTTGACACCCCTGCTCTAGAATAACAGAGAAAAAAATCTTAGCCCACTTTAGTAGCAGATCACATCTGTTGATACCAATAGTCAGAAGACATGATGAAAACTTCTTAATTTCTCAACATATGGATAGGCTTAACCATAATTTTGACTGGGAAATTGTGACCATGTTAGACCAAGCCAAGTTCAAAATCTAGAAAATTCCTAGAAGCCTGGCACTCTACAAATTGGCACCAATAGACGCATAGACATAAACAACATCTACATACTGTGCAAAAGAGACAATCAATAAGCCAAAAAGGGAACAAAAAGGCTAAAAGACCTCCCCACCAGCAATCAGCACCAAGATGAGCCTAGATTAACACCAAGATCAACCTCAACTATCAAGAAGTAAACAATACCAAGTATAAACTGAGAGCAAACCCCATTCCTTACTAACACTGATGTTACCTAATTTGAATAATGAAACATCTGCAAGAAGACGCTCACAAGACCACCAAGGTCCCCCTCATTTTTATATTTGATGATATATCCCCTTTCATTCTTCTCAAGTAAAAATTACTCAACTCTTGAATTTTCAACTTTTCTAATCATCTTCATTGCCTGTTGAATATAATTATGTCCTTTCTGACATTTGGCATCGGAACTGACTATGCATTGAGATGCATCAGTGAAGAACAATACAGAGATATTATTTCTCATGACTTAGAAGCAGGGGGAAATTGCATTTGCTTTTTTTTTTTTTTTAAAGCAATTTTACAGCTCTGCCAACTCCAATTTAAGATTTGACTATCATCTTAAAATTGCAGCCAATCTCATTTTTTTTTACATTGCGCCTGCTAAATATTTTTTTTTTTTGAAAGTGAATATAAACAACTCAGGAAATAATTTGTTGTCCAGCCATGACTCCTGAAATAGGAGAAATAGAAGTTGCTGTTTTCCTCTCAATGTTTTTCATGTTTGGCAACTTGAAACATGGCCAGCTGGGGATTCTGGGAGGTGAAGTTCACACACCTTAAAATCGCCAAGTTTGACAGCTCTAATAGCAGGTCACCTTGGCAGCCAATCCCTCCACCTTCGTCTGTCTGTCTGTCTGTTTCTCTCTCTCTCTCTATATATATATATATACTAGCTGTACCCGGCCACGCATTGCTGTGGCTCAGTCTGGTTAAATGGAAAAGAAAGAAAAGAGAAAGCGCACGTTTGTAATATGTTTAATTTCACAATGCTTGTGGGTACACAATATTTTTTGTTGTTCCATTGTCTGTGCAGATATATGTTTTTCAAAAAAGCATGTTTTTACCTGTCACAGGTGTGACATCTATATAATAGAAGGTATATAAAAACACGCGGGTATTCGAATGCAACGTTGTGTCAACATTTCAAAGCAATCGGTGAAGAACTTTCGGAGATTTAAAATTTTGAATAAACGAACATTTACATTTTTATTTATATATAATAGATAGATAGATAGATAGATAGATAGATAGATAGATAGATAGATAGATAGATAGATAGATAGATAGATAGATAGATAGATAGATAGATAGGGGTGTGTGTGTGTGTGTGTGTGTGTGTGTGTAACATTCCTCCCTATCAGCAATTGATTTCACTAGAAAACTCTGTTAAAAGTGCACACAAGCGATCGCATTTCTATCCTGGAAATATATAAGTTTAAAAAAAATATTTCTAAAGTTCGAGAAAGAAAAAAAAGAAGAGAGAGAGAGAGAGAGAGAGAGAGAGAGAGAGAGAGTTAAATGTGCTGCATATAGAAAAATAAGTCTTAGGCATTTTTGTAGCCGGACGGAAGAACTACAATTCCCGAAAGCCTGTGGGTCTGTGAGCAGCCCGCCGAAGAAGGAGGCGGTGACTTTGCTGTTCTTCCTTCTTGAACGTGTTGTGGTTATTGTGGAACCCAGAGGCAAACTTTTCCTTGCCGGTGCCTCTGCTTTTTTTGTCGGGAAGGTTCTAGAAAGGATTGATCAAAGGAGACACTTTCCCCAAGAGGAAGAAGCCGCCGATTAGTGTCGATTTAGGGGTCCCACTATCCTGCCCTCCCTCCTCTTGCCGGGCAATGGAAGGAGGTCTTACGCAGGAAGAGCCGCTGGTGAGCTGCCCGGTTTGCCTGGTGGAACTTCCAGCTGCGCGCATCAACTCACATCTGGATAGCTGTTTGCAGCTGCAGGGCGAAGGGGAAGACTTGTCCAGCGGAGAGGTCGGAGGCAGGAGCAACAGCGCCCCAAAGCCCGCAGCAGGAGTGGGGCTGCCCCCTTTGGCACAGCAGCCCTGCTTTAAGAAAATGCGGCTCTCCCAATCTCCGGAACGGAGAAAGAAAGACGAGGAGCCGGGAAGTGACCTCGGTTCTCCCCCGGTGTTTTCCCTTTTTCACAGAGGCAGAAACACCGGAGGAGCCCAAATGGGGGCGCCCCGGGGCGCTGCTACCTCTCCAAATCCGGGAAAAGGGGAAGAGCGGCGGGTGGAGAATCCGGAGCCAGCATCAGATGCCTTGGAGCCGCTGTTGCGGGGAGAGAGCCTGGCCCAAAAACTGGAAGGGAAACCTCTGGCCGATAAGCTGCGGCCGAGCCACCTGGGAGATTATGTGGGGCAGAACCGGGTGTTGGGGAAAGAGACACTCTTGCGGTCCTTGGTGGAGGCTCACGAAATCCCCTCCCTCATTCTCTGGGGACCCCCAGGCTGTGGAAAGGTGAGTAGTAGTAAGGGACAGCCCTTTGTCTACCTGTTTTCTTCCCTAGCTTCCTTCCCTCGGACAATTCAGAACAATTACCTAGTGGAACAGCTTGCTTGCAGAAGTTGTAAGTGCTTCAGAACTGGAGATTTTTAAGAAAAGACAGGAAAGCCAGCCATCTGTCTGGAATTGTATAGGACAGTGATGGCGAACCTTTTAGAGACCGAGTGCCCAAACTGCAACCCAAAACCCACTTATTTATCGTCGGGTGACAGGTGGGCATGGCCCACTGGGTGGGCGTGGCTGTAATGCTCATAATAATAATAATAATTTAATTTATATACCGCCCTTCTCCCGTAGGACTCAGGGCAGACTGGGTGGGTGTGGCCAAGGTGGGCGTGATCACCTTGATGTTGCTCGTGGGGAGGGACACCTGTGGGGGCCGGGCAGGGTTGGGGGAAATCCAGGGAGTCTCGGACAGGTGGGGCAGGGGGCAGGAGGCTTGTCCTGCGGGGTGAGGTGAGGCAGGGCAGGGCACTGGACACACTGTCTCAGGGCAAGGCAAGGCAGGGGCCGGGGCGGCTGCTGCCTGACACCATCGGCCCCTGCACACAGAGGCCAGCGAGCGCATGGGTACTGGGATGCATCCAGCCACGTGGACCTTGGCGAGTTAGCGGGCGGCTGGTTGAAGAGGGACAGTTGCCATCTCCGGGGCATGGTGCGTGTGCCCACAGAGAGGGCTCTGAGTGTCGCCTCTGGCACGCATGCCATAGGTTCGCCACCACTGGTATAGGATATCCTCCTTAAGCAAGGAGCTGGACTAGAAGACCTCTAAGGTCCCTTCCAGCTGATTCTGGCTAAATTCAGCATAGCTTGTGGTCCTAAAGTTTACTTACAGGCTGGAAAGCAGCAGGGGCTGTCCAGAGGGACTTTTTATTGTTGTGGTCCAGTGTTAAAGGACTTGCAGCCTTACGAGGAAATGCTTCAGCCTATCAAAGACCATGCAGAGAATGTCATCTCATCCTCACATGCTTAGCATTAGTTGGCAAAGGGTCTCAGGGAAAGGGTCTGTCCAGCTTCAGTTGTGCTTCTGTTTAAGATAAAGCATCCTTCTAGGTGACTAGGGGGGAAAAGTCTGCAAACTGCACCCCTCAAAGCTTTTTAAGCCCCAATGGATTGGATGGTAAAGATGTGGGAGGAGATACCTTCTGGGAGTGTATTTATAACTTTCTGGATCCTAAATTGTATTTCCACTTTGGGGCAGAATTAAGCTGTGTCTACATTGTGAGTAGTCTTCTCCATGGGAGAAAAGGAAATGAGTTGCCAGTTCATCATGTGATGATTCTTATTGGATTCCACTACCCATAGCTTCTAATCATTTTGTTGATTGAGAGTGAAGAAAATTGCAAGAAAGAGCATCTATTGGGACACTTAGTTAGAAGCTGATCTCTTAACCCAAAGATTCCTTTATCACAGGAGATCTAGTAGCATGGTGACTGATGAAAAATTCTATAATCAGCAACACATGGAGGTCTTTTGGACTCTTTGGCGTAGATAAATTCTTCTGTGGTGTGGCAACAAATTTAAAAAATCTTTTCAGTGTTCCTTCATATAATTCCCTATACAGTATATTTAATTGAGTTGCCTAGTTATACAGTGCATTCAGAAAGTATTCAGATCCCCTTCATTTTTGCAGCCTGATTCTACAGTTGTTGAAATTCATTTTTTTTCTCATTAATCTACACTCAGTACCCCATAATGACAAAGTGAAAACAGAATTTTAGATATGTCTGTAAATTTATTAAAAAGAAAAAACTGAAATATCACATTGGCTTAAGTATTCAGACCCTTTGCAACAACACTTGAAATTTAGGTCCAGTGCCTCCCATTTCTTAAGGTCGTTGCTGACATGTTGTTACACCTTGATTGGAGTCCACCTGTGATAAATTGACGACATGATTTGGAAAGGCACACACCTCTCTATTGAAGGCCTCATAGCTGACAATGCATAGTGTAGCAGAGCAAAAGTCATGAGGTCAAAGGAATTGCCTGCAGAGCTCAGAGACAGGATTATTGCAAGGCACAGATCTGGGGAAGGCTACAATAAACTTTCTGCTGCACTGAAGGTTCCTAAGAACACAGTGGCCTCCATATTTCTCAAATGGAAGAAGTTTGGCACAACCAGGACTCTTCCAAGAGCTGGTCACTCAGTCAAACTGAGCAATCAGGGGAGAAAGGCCTTAATAAGAGAGATAACCAAGAACCCGATGGTCACTCTGACTGAGCTCCAGAGATCCTGTGTGGAGATGGGAAAGAGTTCCAGAAGGACAACCACAACTGCAGCCCTCCACCGATCTGAACTTTATGGCAGAGTGGCTAGACAGAAGCCTCTCCTCAATGCAAAATACATGAAAGCCTGCTTGGAGTTTGCAGGAAAGCACCTGAAGGACTCTTAGGCTGAGGAACAAGATTCTCTGGTCTGTCAAAATTAAGATTGAACTGTTTGGCCTCAATTCTAAACGTTATGTCTAGAGGCACTGTTCATCACCTGCCCAGTATTATCCCAACAATGAAGCATGGTAGTGGCAGCAGCATGCTGTGGGGGTGTTTTTCAGCAGCAGGGACTGGGATACTGGTCAAGGTTGAGGGAAAGCTGAAGGGAGGAATGAACAGGGATATCCTAAATGAAAACATGTCCCACAGTGCTCAGGACCTCAGACTGGGCCAAAGGTTCACTTTCCAACATGACAACGATCCTAAGCACACAGCCAAGAAAACACAGGAGTGCCTTAGGGACAACTCTGTGAACGTTCTAGAGTGGCCTAGCCAGAGCCCTGACTTGAACCCCATTGAACATCTCTGGAGGGACCTGAAAATGACTGTCCACCAGCAATCGCCATCCAACCTGACTGAGCTTGAGAGGATTTGCAAGGAAGAATGGCAGAAAATCCCCCAATCCAGGTGTGCAAAAGCTTGTTGCAACATAGCCAAAGAGACTCAAGGCTATAATTGCTGCCAAAGATGCTTCAACAAAAATGCTTTGCCAATCTGATATTTTGGTTTTTTCTTTTTAATAAATTTACAGACATTTCTAAAAGTCTGTTTTCACTTTGTCATTATGAGTGTAGATTAATGAGAAAATGAATTTCAACAACTGTAGAATCAGGCTGCAGCATAACATAATGGACAGAAGTGAAGGGGGTCTGAATACCTTCTGAATCCACTGTAAACACTAAAGAAAGCAGTTTGATGTGTCATTGAGCTCCATTTTTGCTAGCAATGCAGTGAGCAGAATTGTGGATATTATGGAATAATACATAATGATTTCCAATTTGGATAACAATTATCCTCCTGAGGGGAAGACAGATTTATTTTCTTCTGATTAGATGAGGTTACATTCCCACAAATGAAAAAAAAAAATATTGATGCTCTTACCCTTCTCTCTGTTTTGTTATAACTTCATGGTGTCACAGTTTAAATAACTAGGTGTTTTAAAAATATAATAAATAACATAAAAATAAACCATTCTATTGTTTAATATCATTTTCGCACTAGCAGAGCTTTGGTAAATCATTCACTGATGAAGTGGGAAAATTCCCAGAATTGCATTCTTATGATTTTCATACCATGATACACAGCTAACAATTTTGTATAAGGTTGGACTACCATAAGTGGCCTGCAAAAATCTGGTTGACCACAAGATGTAGCAACCAGATTCATAAAAAAACTAACACTTGATTGTCATCTAGAGCAGGGGTCCCCAACCCCCAGACAGCGGACTAGCAGCGGTCTGCGGCACGCCACAAACCAGACCAGACAAATGAGTGAAGCCCCATCTGCGCACATGTGGGATGCAGGCAGCACGCAAAACCACGCCCCCCCAGCACTTGGAAAAAAACCTGCAAAGAACCAGTCCCTGGCACCCCAAAGGTTGGGGGGAGCGCTGTCGTAGAGGTAATTTAAATGTCTGCAGTCCAGATATGATAGCACTAAAATGAGAAGCATTACAGCTTGGATACCCCACAATTTCTCTATCCACTCAGATCCATACAACTCGACTTACATCCACAATCGAGCACAAAATTTCCATTGCTGAGCAAGAGAGTTGTTAAGTGAGTTTTGTCCATTACAACCATCCTTGCCCCAATTGTTAAGTGAATCACTGCAGTTGTTTAGTAAATCTGGCTTCTCCATGGACTTTGCTTGACAGAAGGTCACAAAAGTTGATCACATGATCCCAGGACACCGCAGCCATGATAACAACATGCCAGTAGGCAAGCACCCAACTTCTGATCACGTAACCATGCGGATGCTGCAATGGTCATAAATGTGAAAAATGGTCATAAGTCCCTTTTTTCAGTGCTGTTGTGACTTAGAACGGTCACTAAACAAATGGCTGTAAGTCAAGGATTACCTGTTCTGAATGTCTGCCGTGTAGGTTTCAAGGGAGCAATGTGGGCTAAAGGACCCGTCTGAATATCTGAATTCAGCAGTAACTCGAAAATAATTTATAAACCCCTGAAGGTGAATTTGTCTGACTTCACACAATAGGGATCATCAGTCTGGACTGCTAACAACTGGGCATCAGTCTGGACTGCTGATTAAAAAGAAAGAAAAGTTTCCATGGCAGCGAATGGTCCAGCTGCTTAAACGTAAGTTGCAACCTGAGTAAGTCGCCCTTTGATTTATGACCCTTTAATGTGCAAGATTTAGATTTTTGTTTGTCTGCCATGGAGTACTCAGTTTTAGCTGAGAGAGACATCTACTGTGTAACCCAAGCACAGAGCAGCTTGGGAGCTGGCACATCAAAAACCCTGCATTTGCAGAGAGCTAACCTTGTTTATCTAGAGATGGAAAAAGGATAATTAAGTGAATGTCTGGCATATTACGCAGAAACTGACTTGAAGACGACCCGGCATCTATCCTTGGTTTTATAAGTGCAATCTTAGATTGCATTAATGAAAGTAGTAAATGATGAGAATGTGTGAACTTCAAAGTAACATGCTGTCTTTGCGATT